TAATTTTGCGCTTTTATTAAGAGACGAGTATGCCGTTACTTGGCTGTTTGCTTACAACAAAACAAAAAGTTCCGAAATCCCATTAAAAATTGTTACATAAACCGCTTTCATGGAAATCAGCAATATTATTGTAGTATAACAACGACAGCAACCACTTAACGCATAAGTGCGCAATATTTACGTATGTTTGTAAATATAGACACACACTTACATATATAGATTTTTTGCAAATAATTTAATTGCCACTTGTCATGCCTTCCATTGGCTTAAGGGACTAAAGAAGCTCCACTTTAGCAAATCTATTTCTGAAACTGAAATCTCAATATTTGTACTCGATAACGTATTAAATTTTGCATTTGCCTTTGTGTCGCCGCCTAGTAACCATAATCACATTTTGCCATGGGATCGGGCTTGGCTGGTTCGCACCAATGCTATTCAAGCTGCAGGCACCCGGTGAAAATCCGCTTGACTTTGAGGTCTCCGTGGAGCAAGGCTCCTGGATGGGCGCGCTGGTGTGTCTAGGCAGTTTACTCGCCAATGTGTTCTTCGGGTACCTATTGGATATAGTTGGGCGTAAGGCCTGCATATATTGTCTGGCCATACCGCATATTGTAAGTACGCGCCATAAACCACAATAATAAAAACAGGTTTACTTCAAGTGCATTTTTCGAAACGCAGTGCTTTTGGTGTCTCGTCTACTTTGCGCAATCCATTGAGTATCTTTATGCGGCGCGCTTCTGTGGCGGCATGACAGGTGGTGGCACTTACGTCGTCATACCGATTTTTATTGGCGAAGTCGTCGATCCAGCGTAGGTCCACTTTTTTAACCTGCTTTTACCTTAAAGTTTTCAACAAGCTCTTCACTATGCATTCTCTCATAGGATACGCGGTCGCCTCACTTCTTTATTCACACTCACCTTGAATTCGGGCATGTTGGTGGGCTATACACTGTCCTCCAATGTACCCTATCACTTGATACCGTTGCTGGTGATCTCACTACCCGTGCTCTTCTTACTGATCGAAACATTCTTCCCGGAAACACCGACGTATCTCTTGCAGCGCGCCGAAGTTGAAAAAGCCGAGAAAGCCTTTAAATTCTATCAGGGCCACACGGCAGAGAGTAAGCAGGATATCGATAAGTGCAATGCGAAGTTTTCAGAGCTACGCGATGCGATATCGCAAAAGTCGCAAGCAGATGTTGTCACTTGGCGCGATTTCTGTAAGTCTCTTTCAAACATTTTTTTTGTTACCATGATAAAAAATACCGTTATTCAACTACAGTTAGCAAACGCGCCATACATGCCCTCAGCATGGGCAGTATGCTGATTCTAATTAACGTGTTCAGCGGCAGCTTCGCGATACTCAACTACGCCACGTCCATATTTGGCGCCATCAAAACGGATTTACATCCGAATACGAACACCATAATAATCGGCTTGGTGCAAATTATCGGTACCATAACCGCCATCATATTGGTGGATCGTTATGGTCGCAAAATGCTGCTCATACTGTCCACCGCCTCTATGGGGATTTGTTTGGCCGCGTTCGGCATGTATGCCTTCTTTGCCGAAGAGACCAGCGTGGATCTGACACCTTATCATTCGTGGTTACCGCTGCTGCTGGTGGCGCTTATCATACTTGCGGCAAATGTGGGCGTAATACCCGTCACATTTGTCGTGCTGGTGGAGATTCTACCGCCGAAGGTAATATAACAATATAAATATGTGACGTGGTCTACGAAAAGGGAGCTAACGTGCAAAAACTACGCTGTTAAAAAAAAAAGCATCTCATCTTCCATCCGAATCAACTAAAAAGTGAAAATTGAGTTTTTGACACCTAAGCCACCTTTCCGTAGACCAGGTCACATATATATAGTAAATATATATAGTAATATATATATGTTCTCTGCCTGTCTCTTATACACATCTAGATGTGTATAAGAGACAGCATATATATAGTAAATATATATAGTAACACACACTCATACACATATTTGTTATTTGAAATTATCGATATTTTTGTGCTCGAATCGCTTAAGTGGCGTTAAAGTGGCTTACATGAAAATCAAATGCGAACTTAAGTGCCTTAATATTAGGTGTTGAACGCAAAACGTGAATAATTCGAAATCGAAAAGCTTTTGAAGAAGAATGTAAAATGGTTTTACTTAAATTAATATAAAAGAAAATATATAAAATGAAGTATGGCATAAGGAATATGATGGATAAGTGAAGGAGTGGAGGAAAGCCGATCAATGACAGTTTATATTGTACTTTCTCAGGTTCGGTTAGGTTGAAAATTCGATCCAAAAAACGAGTTCCACTTGGACTGCTGAGCACCGCGGTTCATTGTGAAATCTAAATCATCTTAAATATTGTTCGAAAAGACGGTCAGATGAAAGAAGTGCTTTAATCCTGCTAAAACTTAGTTGAGGCTATTGATATCAATTCCAGCTGTTTCGTCAGGCTCACAGTTAATTTGACTGCTGAGATACTCCGAGTTGCAAACGTTGTTGAATGGAGGAAAAAGTGGCTTGGTATTTTTAGCTCAGCTTCCTCCTACTGGACAATATCCGGTAAGAACTCCTACGATTGCGGGAAGATGAATCTTATTGGGACCGAGTAGATCAGTGGCTTTGCTGCGGGCCGCACTAGAATATAAGGATGATTTCACGGTCGCACAAATAAACAACGGATACCAATCGTGTTCCCTAGTCGCTGTATATACTCACTCTAGACAATCGTTGAGCGCACAGTGAGCGAGCTCAAACCATGGCAGCTCTGCTCGAAAAATGCTACAGTGATCCGGTAGCTATCGTCTATCTTGGAAAAAGCATTAACCACAATAGCAAGGTTAGAATGGAAATTCAACGCAGAATAAACTCTTGGCCGACAGATGCTACTTCGGACTGAGTAGACAACAGAGAAGTAAAGTCCTCTCTCGACGAACCAATACCAAACTCTGCAAGTCACTCATCATCCCCATCCTGCTATATAGTGCAGAAGCATGAACGATGAGCAGGCAGAGTAAGAGGAAGGCCTCCACTCCGTTGGAAGGAGAAGGATCTGGCTACACTTAGATTCTTCAATTGGCGCCAAGCAGGAGAGAGGACGAACGACTGACGCGTTGTTGTAAACTCGGTTCGCATAAGCGTTGTCTGCGACAATAAAGAAAAGAAGAAGATGCAGTAACTTGAGACTATCGTAAAATTGCTCGGACTCAAGATATTTGTTATCCATCTAGCTTGGGTTTTGAAAAAGAAACATCCAGATGAGAGACATTACCTAATATCTAACTCTAAAAGACAATACAGTATTTTTTTAAGGTTGTCGCACGAGTTTTTCCGAAGTAGGACAAGAATGTACACAAACTCGCAGCCATAATAAAGAGATATTGACTTTATGGGCGTACCGTATAACGGAATTCTGGTCTTTTGACGTCGCAAAGAAAAATGAAAAATACACTTCAAGCGTTGCTCTGGCCTCGTGATGTAAAAAATTGGCTTCGATTCGAACATCCGATTCGATTTTTCACATCTCGAGACCAAAGCAAGACTTGAAGTGTATTTTTCATTTTTCTCTCGTGTTGCGAAAAATCGAACATCACTTATACCAGGCGCAGATCCACGTTGGTTTGGAAGGGGTTGTAACTGCGGAGAGTTTCCAAAAAGTCGAAAGTCATACATTATTTCCATCATAAGTGACACTACGCGAAGAAAGGGACTTTGAGTTGCACGTACAAAATCATATCTCTTTTCTCATAGTTTGAATATATGGCCTTATCAATAGTTATATCTTTATCTCATCAGACGAGTTAATGAGCGTTGCTGAATTTGTTTTAATTAACAAGCTAAGATTTCAGTCGAAAACGCCACAGCGGTGAACAAATTTAAGAACTTTAAAATAATAGTATCGTAAGTATACCAACAATTTCGGCCTCTGATTCAATGAGTTGTATTGATAAAAAGGCAAAATCAGTAATACTCATTTGAGCACTTATAACAAAGGAGCACAAAAATTTCGAGTAATTTATAATGACTAAATTTAATTAATTAATACAAAATATTTTTGAAAAATAATCGCTTTACTTCCTCATCCATGTAGATCCGTTCAAAAGGCGCCTCCTTTTGCTTGTGCTTGCTGAGTCTTTTCACATTTATTTTGATAAAAGTATTTCCACCATTCATGCAGGCCTTCGGTTTGTCGGCGTCAATGTGGGCCTGCGCTTCGTTCGCCGCACTCGGCCTTTTCTACATAGCCATATTCCTCCCAGAGACGAAAGGAAAGTCCATGAGTACAGAGGAATCGTAAAAAAGCATTATAATTGATTACTATAAGTACTTCTGTGAATATGTATTTTCTTAATAAAATTATGGTTTATATGTATGTATTTAAAAATTAATTGTTGTGGTGAAAGCATTACAAGGAATTCTACTTATTAGTGTAATATTTATTTACAACAAGAAAGACACCAAAAATACAAAAAATTTGAAATTCAAATAGTTCAGAATATTGTTTTAAAGATTGACATATTTGTTACGTAATCAACTTATATAGTATACGGTTGTGCCTTGGGCCTCAAAAACATCGCTAACTTCTTTAGGGCTCCAACTATCGAAGATGCAACGACTTGCTAGCATGTGCCATGCGCACATGTCCGACAACAGCTCTTGAAGTTATGCTTAAGTTCACACCACTTCAGCTAGTAAGGGGGCAGGTAGCCAAACACACACTGCTCCAAATGACAGCAGAAGTATGTGATAGAGATAAGGTGATCTCAACCCAACGGGTGAATGAATTAAGTGGTGTAATGCTATCGGCTTTTCTCCCATACTACAGTATTACCAAAAGGATAAAGAAGTTCAAGGTTACCTTAACCAGTAAGGCTGGATGAATTGATCCCACTCTCGAGCTACTGCTTAGGGATAGTACAATCAAGTGGTACACCGACGGCTCGAAAACGTCATAGTGAATTTAATTTAAATTAAAAAATGGTTGTTTAAAGCCTCAGTAGGTTTAAATTTTAAATATATTTAAATACCTCCCTATTGGAACTTATCAATATGCTTGGGCTAGATAGGTCGTTGTTACTTGGGAGAGGGCACAATAAACCTAAGATCGCGGTGCAATTTTCATCTTATCCTATCCTACACTTCTTAAAAAATCGGAAGGAAAAATTACGACTGATGTGTTAAGGGGTTTTTGGGATATTTGAGGTGTCCTGTTTAGGATTCTGAGCTCAATATCATTATTTTATATATCATTTTAGTAAATGGTGGTGGTTTGTTAGGAAAATTTTACTATCACTTTCTATTTTAGCAACCCAAAATTAACAAGAAGCAGTCTCTAACATCACAGTCGATTGACTGTAAACTGATATTACCTAAGTAACAGTCCTTGTCTGAATAAATGCTACTACACAAGAGATAGAATCGGGTGTCGGAGATCCAGCTGCAACGAAGTCATCAAACTTCATATTCGACAGGGACACAAGCAGTCGACCGATCATAGTTACATTCGATTGTTCAGTTTGTATGGCAGCTATATGCTAAAGTGGTCCGACATTGGCCGTTCCGAAATTTGCACCTTCTTGGTTAGAAAAGCCGGGGTTAAAATTTCCCATCTCAAAAACTGAGAGACTAGATCGTTTATATACAGACGGACATAGATAAATAGACTCAGCTCATGCTGATCATTTATATATAATTTTGAAAGGACCTTCGACGCTTCCTTCTAGACATAACAAACATCGAAGCCAACTTAATATAGTCCAATGTATAAAAAGACGGAGTCGAACTTCAGCATTCAGCGGAAACTTACTATAAAACTCTAAAAGGATATTACATAATCACGACAAAATATTTAAGAGTATTTAGTCACAAGCTGCTCCACCTCATCTTTTGCTTTCCTTTTGTTAAACATTTTCATGCTTCATCCTTTTTATTGTATTTGTTATTTTAATAAGCATTCGCCGATTCAACCTTTCTTAGATGTATTGAAATCCGCATTATTTCCGTTTACGCAGCGCTGACACTCATGGGACCATCCTTAACCCGCACCATACTCTATACTTCTGGACATTTAAGGCTAACTGCTAACTTAATTACTATTTTAAAATCTTGTGGCTACTTCTGGTGAGTTGATATGAAAAAGGTAGCTGAAACGCGTAGGAGTATTAATCTCAGAAGGAAAAATATATACCTCCAATAAACCATTTCTAAGATACCAACAAGTTAAGTGAGCAGGTAATCATGTTCTAAAAATAACTCTCGCATATTTGTTATATCAATTTCAAATCTACATTTGTGCATAGTAAGTGGCAGACATTTAAATCGATATCTAATTGTTTAAGCCCAATACAGCTTGGCTATCCGGCCGTTTTGTATATAAAAATAGACTCAAGAGGTATAGATCGGTATTGAGTGGAAATTGCCAGTGACGCCTAGGCGTTATTACGATTATGTACTCAAAAATAATTATTAAAATGATAATGTGAAATCATTTATTGACCATCGCACCTGTGCGCCTATATTAATTGAAAACGCATTAGACCGCGGTCAGCAAACAGTCTGAAGAAATCATATAATATACATATACTATATTTATATACATACACGTTTGTGCCTTGGTCTCACTAATTACCTATGGTATTTGCATAGGACCACCCACCAAAATTTCAAGGATGCAAAAAATTTAAAAGCGTTTCACCAGTATTTAAATGATGTCCCGCACGGTGGGCGCCAATGAGCGCTTGCCGCTCAGCTTTCATACAAATGATTCAACATTGCTTTGAGTGCTGCTATCCTTGTGAAAAATAAATGTTGTGTTGGCAAAAAAGTAATTATTTTTTGATGACATAATTGCACAGACCACTAAATCGTATCAATTAAACAGACGACATCAATTTATGAAGAAATTGAATGCAAGGCACCATGGATTACAAATAATTTTAGCGGTCGTATATTACATCAGACGGGTAATACAGCTTAAAGGTGATTTGGAACGCACAATGGACTTTTTTGTACAATTTAGTACTTAAGATCGCATGAAATTTGTTGGTGGTCCTGATGACGTTGATCCTTAGAGAATACTATGGGCAAAAATATGTATAATGAAGAGTTCAACATACTAGCTAGTAATATGTACCTGTAACTATGTATTGCATGTTAAGCATTTGTAGCCCTAAGAACTCAGTTCACATCAATAAATACAAAATAGAAGCCACATGTTTCAATCAACATTGTCATCGAATAAGTATATAGTAATTAGTCTTACTGCCATTAGTCTAAGAATGTACATAGTACAATATTTACATATAGATATATATATACTATATTATATTATAATCAAAGCATGTGCCTGTAGGAATTGGTTTGCTAAGTAGAATTAACAATTTCGGCATGAAAATTTCATGCCATTTTAATAGAGCGGAAAATAGGATTTCCGAAGTTGAGTGACTAAATGTGGAAACGTCAGTTAAGCCGAAAAGAGCAGAAATGTGGTGTAGAATTTGTGATGGTCAATGCCAAAGCTTAAGCAGTTTATCTAACCCGTCACTAACCCAAACCGTCTCTACAAATTAGCCATATTTACGTACAAAAAAAATAACGGGTGATCCAAGTAGAGACACCTTTTTTAATAGAATTTTTTGACAGATCACTCGAGTCCTGTCAAATTGTCAAGTTATGTTTTTTCAACACTATCACTCATCTTCTGACCCAGCATTCCTTATTGGATAATATTCGAGCGAGTGGTCCAGGACGCAGAGAAGAAAATATATCAGCCGTAGCTGAAACTGTACACAAAGACCGTGGAGAGTCGATTCGGCGCCGTTCACAGTATCTCGGACTGACGTATGGACCGACTTGGCATTTTACGTCGGGATCTTAAATTAAAAGCCAGCCTATGCAAGAACTGAAGTTGCTCGATCTTCCAAAGCGACATTGCTTCACATTTTCTTCGGCGATGAGACCCATTTCCGGTGCAATATGTAAACAAGCAAAATTAACGCATTTGGGACACAGAACAACCTGAGGAGATTCAAGAGCCATTCTTTACAGAAAAATCAACGATTTGGTGCGGTTTGTGGGCCGGTGGAATCATCAGTAGTTATTTCATCAAAAATGATGCCCGTGAGAATGTAACCGTCAATGGCGACCGTTATCGCGCTCTGATAGCCGACTATTTGATGCCTGAATGTGAAGCTGGCGTCTCCTTCGCCAGTTATCAGTTTTAAATTAACGGAGGGGCGATCTTAGACGTATCCGCGGCCAACATTTGAAAGAAACAACCTTCATAAATAAAAGCCAAAGAATGTTTTTTCGAATGATAATAAACATTCCCCATTACACTTGAAGACTCCGTGTTTTTTTCGTGAAAAAGTAGAGAGCCTGGAAATATATCACTCTTTACAAGTACCTATGTACAACATACATATGTCCCGACAGTCGCACTATATAATCAATGCGAATCTGAAGGGTGGGCGGTGTTCTTACAAGTATAACACCAATCCATCCGCGCATTTTTACCGCATGTTGACATTTCGCCATCCAGGTGGCCGCTTCTGCTCACCCCCTCTATATATGTAGTGCAAGTTGATGAACGTTTCTGAGTTTTTAACGGTAAATGTACCAGAACGTGGAGGTTACTTTAATTGATGAGCTTTTATTCATTTAATTTACTGTCGTTTCGCGCCAGTTTTGGGGTTTACGAATCGTAATTTGTTTTGTATTAAATGACACATATATATATAATGATATAATGTATAAACTTGTATACGATACACTTTGCAAAATAAATATATGTATACCTTTACATATCTACGAATGATTTAAGGCAAAATGCGGCATTTAATGATAAAATCTATTAAATTTATAAAGTTTATAAGCTTAAGGCTTAGCAGGTATTAGAGCTGAGTCAGACTTTCGTACCTTGACTATTATAAGGTTATGCGTTTCTCTAGGGCTGACCTTGTTGATCCTGCATACTCTTTAGGACTTCCACCTCGGCCTTATCCGCCAGTTAGCACTCTTGGAAATTTTATTGTGTACCTTTTTTAGAAGCTTATGTATTTCATTTACCCGTTCGGTAGCCGAAATGTTCTTGTGACCCGGAAAACAGTATATATGCAGCTGCTTTCCAGCAGTCACCATATCTACTGCCTCCCTGCTTCTAGGAACATGATGCAATGTGAGATTATTGCTTTATCTTCCTGGAAGGTGCAGCAGTATTCCGGCAGCTTGAATGGTCACCTGAGATCTTGCTACGCACAATGGATCTCGGCGGTCATTTCTTCAGCCATTTTTGATCCATTCATTTATACAAGTATGTTGAAAGTTCTGCTTGTGGATCACGTGCCTCTACACTAGCCACCCAATTTTTAGTGTGATTTGAAAGATCTCTCCCAGATAAAGACTGCAATATATTTTATTCAATACCTTACGTCATTTACACCTCTCTTCCACATTGAATTTCCACATCAGATTGCTGTTCTAACTTACTCCCTGATACGTGGTATGATCCTTAGCTGTTAACTCTGCTCTACCTTGTAAATATTACCATATCTGTATCGGCTAAATGGCGGTACATCTAGCCGATGTCGCCCATTGGATTCCTTATTTTTTATGCCCTAGAGAGAGCTCTCTCCATACCTAGGATTAGCGCGTCAAATGCAGTTTCAGTGGAACTACTTAGGGTATAGGGATTTCGATATATATCTTTATAAGGCTTTAAAGGATATTTTCTCTAAACAAAACTGAATCTCAAAATAATTGTTTACTTATTTCGAAGACAATCGAAAGATACTCGAACTAACTGCAAAATATGGTATGTACATGTACGTATATATATTCATCTAGAGCTCTCCCATAAAAACCAAACTTAGGCAATTTTCTAAAATTCTGGGAATAAAAATGGATCGAAATGCTTCCTGTCAGATCCATAAAATTAATTTTTGCACTTCTTCATTTATCTTCCAGCAGAAGTCAATGGTTCAAATCCACAACAAAATGACTGGTGCCGTTGGAAAATGAGTAGTGTGTAAAAATGTGTTCGAAACTCCTGTATATGCAGTATGTGACCATCTTGTTGCTTTCAATATTAACGACTGCTACTTTGCGATTGGCAACATCCACAACAGCAACAACAACAGGCGCAGAAGCCGCTGGCGCTCCTGCTAAGGTAAATATTTGCAAACGAATGAAGACAGAACTAATAGTACACCTGTACTTTCATACATACTTGTATGCAAACATACTATATGTTTGCTTTATTGTTATCATTATTAGCTACAATAAAATAATAAAAATAATAAACCCTTACATCCAACAACAAAAAAGTAAATTATTGAAAATTATATAAATGAATGCGTAATAGCCACGTGAGTGTCTCAGGCGTTTTGTGTATCAAGTTAAATAAATAACAATAAAATTTGTTTAGTAAAAAATGTTTTTAGTACATTTGATGATTTGTGTATTATCGTGGCGCAGAAGCCAAAAATTGTCGGCCCATAATTCCGCCCCTTTTTACGAATATCTTCGCGCAAACGACGTATAATACTCAAAGTCTTGTTGTCAGTTTGGCCGGGCGAAAAGAATTCTGAGTACACCACATCTCGATGGTCGAAGAAACATGTCACTCCTTCGGCCGATTCATCGTCTGTTTGTAGGTCGTAAGCATAGAGATCCAATCCATCCAAGAATTCGTCAGTAATAATACCTGGTAGTAGGAAAGCATTGTTTCACAGACTTTAACACGATGCTGTATTTCGTAAGAATTGAGTGATTTTGGACCTGATTATTCCGATATTCCAGAAAGATCGTTGACTGTTAATCGTCGATTCTCAAACAGTAATTCTTTTATTTTATTGACAAGTTAATCATCAGTTGATGTTGATGGCCGTCCTAGACATGGTTCGAGATGAACGGGTTGTCGATCCGTTTTCAATGGGATTCATTCTAACAGCTTGGTTGCAAAGTTCTTGGCTGATACATAGATGGTACTACTAAAATTAAATGCATATGATTTTTTGTCAGTCCCTGCCTTTTAAAGATATGAGTATAAATTTGACAGCTGTCGAACTATTAGTTTATGAGATATAGTTTTTTGGGTGAATCAATTTGTGTTAGTTTAAGATAAACATTGCTTTTTGTTGGAAAAAATTTCTGCTGAAGCCTAGGTTCCGATTGATCAGCATTATTTGGACTGTGCACCAGGGAAATCAACTGTGCGAAATGAGCGCCGAACTCGTTGAAGACGGTTGACGTCCTAAAGAGGCTGTTTACCGATAAACACTTAAAAAAGTCGCCAAAATAATTTCTTATTCCGGTAAAGTGAAGTTTTTTGTGATAGCAAAGACTCTAAAGATACCAAAGGAACGTATTGCGAATAAATATTAGGGTATGTGCAAGCTCTGTGCAAAGTGGGTGCCTCATAAGCTCACAATCCAACAAAAATCACAACTAACTGTTGATGCTGAGGAGTATTTGAAGTTCTTTAATTGCAATAAACCCGAGATTAATCTGCGTCGATATATGGCAATGGATAAAATATGGACTATATTATTTTATACCGCAGTCCAATCGCCAGTCATCCGAGTGGATTGTACAGGATTAAGCGACCCGAAAGCGTGGAAACAAGCAAAATTCCGCTGCAAATACTATAATAAAATCAAATTTTATAAAAACAAATTTTCTCCATACTAGTCTCCTTTGAACTCCTCAACTCGCCTGTTACTATGTTTTGCTTTTATTTTCAAAAATTATCTAATAGAGTAATTTAAAATATTTTTTTTTTTATATTATATTATTATTTTTTAATGACGAATAAAACTAATGTAAATTAATAAAATTTTCTTATTGCAGCGATTGACTCGTTCTGGCAGAATAACAGGTAAATTGGCAATGAACAAAAATGTTTCGATTTCGGCGCTTTTCAGGTTGATCACGTATTATACATTCTGACAAAAAAGTACCTGGAAATTGTAAATAAAACAAAATATTTATTTATTCATGTTATTTTATTATTCAAAGTCATCCCCACCACATGTAATACACTTAAGCATCGAGTTGCATACTCAAAATATCGGCCAAAATCCTTCGAACGAACTCTCGAGAGATGTCGAGCTCTCGTGCCATGTTTCACACACTTACCTGACGATTTTCAAGCACCATATACTTCATTTTTATTTTTTAATTTTCATCGCTTGAAGAGGTCGAATGTCGGCCAGAACGTTGCATGTCTTCAACGATATCTCAACCGTCTTTGAATGCTTTGTACTACGAGTGGTGTTTGATAAAACTGAAACACCGTAAGCCTTTTCCAACATTTGCAACGATTCTGCATACAAAATTTGGACAAATTTGTATCCATTGTAAAAGTCGCAGCGCACTACTGAGATGTGCCGACTTAAGCAGAGACTAAACAAAAACTGGTTGACAGAACGGTTAAGAACAGTTCTACCAACTTAGCAAAATACATACCGGGTGCTTTTTTGTCACAATCTATATACAAAAGGTCATGGTATAGTTCTTGATTTTAGAATAAAAAAGGGTCTTAAATATGTATAATACGACTATTTAAAAAATGAAATAATTAACTTGAACTCGCCCTTTCATTCGTCCGTTTGTCTTCGTCACATCTTTTGATATCACTTACACCATGCTGAGAGAAAATAACAAGACCCGAAGCAGTCAAACGATTTCGCTTTTATGCAGCAGGAAAGCACACTTTGTAAGTAGTGTCCCTGATTCGCTAAGCCTTGGAGAGTAGTGAATAGAACATAAAACTAGTATTAACCATATAAAGTGGTATAAATTAATATAGGCAGGTGGAATAACATACAAGCTCTGACTTGAACAGTTTTTAAAATTCATGCTGCTGTGGTTTTCCAGAGAATCTTTAATTTATGATTTCAATAAATTGACATTTTTAAATAAGAAAAAGGCGTTTTATGCGTCTCTGAGACTTATTGAACCCTTCTTTTGAGGATATCTTAATATCAATTCCATAAATCTCTCTAAGTCTCAACATAAAGTTTCTGAGACCGATTGAAGCTAGAATATCTAAATATAAATTTCATAATTCTCCACAGGTGTTACCACCAACGTAACATTGCATGAAATAGGCGATATTGTGCAACTATTAATCAGTTGGGATGACAATTTACCAAAAGGTATATAAAATATATTTTCAAAAAAATAAAAATTAAATATGTGTCGACTTATAGGTACCTCATACAATGTCATAGTGACTGCCACAAATTACACAAAGTGCAGTGAACCGCCTTGTAGTGTCTATGGTGTTATTAAGGTTAGTAAGAGATCACAAAATATAGTGCTGGATCTGTAGTTTTCATAAATGAAATAAAAATTTCACACATTTTTGAAACGAATTCATAATCTTTCAAATGCAGGACACCAAAAGCATGATCATACCGGAGAATCCAATGACGCATGTGGATCAAAACGAGTGTGGCTTCATGTTTGGCTGTGATTATACAGTATTAGTGGAAACATCGAATATGATGGTATCCGAACATGCGACCGTGTCTGTGCCATGTAAGACAAGCAACTTGCTGATTGAGTACTTCATTCATATTACTGTCTTTCGTAGATTGCATAATGGGTGTGTGTTCCTGCCGACATGCTGCAACGCTACCGAAGGTCTTATCATCCGTCAATATACCCGACAATGAGACGATCATCTTCGATTGGGCGATTAAATATGAAAAAATAATGGACAAGCATAATCACGATGCCAGAGATACAAATAATCACTGGAAATTATATTTAATGTAAGTGTGGGCATTTTTTTGCAAAGAGCTTTTGCGCCAATGAAAGCAGTTTAACTCTCAATTTATGATTGATTTTTGAGAACTAAATTATTTTTATTTTTTTTATTTTTATATACCGACATTCTACATCCACAGCATCAGCGAACAAACCAATCCTTCGCTCTCGTGGGGCGGTCGGCTCTTACCCATCACAGAGCATTTGTATCCCATACGAAATGTGACACAGCTGAACACCAAAGGCACTATGAAGGGTGTCTTCAAAATACGTATACCAAAAGAGAAGCAATTAGTTGCCAATGCTGTGCTCAAAATACGCTCATATATAATAGACGATCTGCAATGTGGCGGCCCAGAGCATTTCTCAAATATTACAGGTAAGTGGCAATTTCCCTCAGGTATGCTTAGTAGATATGTGTTTAGGTTATCTTAACTTTTGTCTTCACTTTTACAGTTCCTGATTTTTTTAAAGTAGACGAAAACATTGACGCTGCTGACTTCGATTTGGTGAGTAAAAAATTGCAAAAAAATTTCTTGAAAAGATCACAAAATTATTCTAATCCTATACCCTAATAATTACCGAGTGTTTCCTAAACATTCCAGACAACCGTTAAATGGTTTTAAAAATGTATTGAAAAGCATTTTTTCTTAATACTATTATTCCTATACGTGGTTGGGTAAAAAAATAACGAGAATATTAAAATACTGCATGTACCTCTAACCTTTAGGAACACCATATTTATACCACATTACCTTAAAAATATACAAAGTAAATACACATTTATGTTAAGTATTCTCTCCACAGGGCATTGCCTTAATTATTCTCAGCGCGCTTTTCCTCTGCATCGTCGTTTTGGCTTTGACATTTTGCTGTTGGAAACGTAATAAAATTGCCAAATTCCATAACGGTGTTCTACCGAAGGAAGAACATTGCCTGGCGCCATTCTCCACAATGGTCGAGTGAGTTTGCTTTGCGCTTTCATTATATGATTTTCAATATATCTAACTGATTTTTCATACGATTACCCTTGTAAATGCAAATCAAATAGTGCAGAGTTGCCAATTGTTGGTTTCTATTTTAATTTAAAACATTATTTTCCTTATACTTTCTTTATTTTAGAATGGAAGACAACATCAACTACGTCGATAAGTATGTTGAGGTGAGTAATTGAATGAAATTTATTTCGTCTTTAAATAAATAAATTAAGAAACGATCTGCAGTTTGTCTGAAAACTTTGTTCGAGTTTAATCATATTCCAAAAGCAAGTCATATAATACCACAGACATTTTTTTAAAACAGCTTTTGCCACAAACCTGATTTTATATCTCTTTTATCTCGAAAACCCCTGAAACGATTAAAAATCAGTGGAAGACTCATGCTCTCATTCTCAAACGTTTCACTCAATCCCAAGAAAAAAATTGAAAAACCACACAAGACTGACGTCAAGTCAAGTTTTTCTAAAAATTTGCTTTAAAAATTATGGGTGATCCACATTGAGATTCATTACTCATTTAAAGAAAAAATGCAGAAACATCCAATTTAATGGGGAATGTTTATTATCATTCGAAAAAACATTCTTTGGCATTTATCTTTTGAAGATTATCTCTTCAAATGTGGCCTGAATCGAAGCGGGATTATTCGCATAGACTTTAGACTTTATATATTCTCACAGGAAAAAGTCTAACGTTCTGATATCACCCGATCTTGGTGGGCAATCGACCGGCCCAAAACGTTAAATTATCTGCTCACCGAAGTGCTCACTTAATAGATCCAATGATTGATGCGATGTGTAAGGAGTGGCGTCGTGTTGTAGAAACCAAATGTCGCCAAGATCACGAGTTTCACATTCAGGCATCAAACGATCGATTATTATGGCGTGATAATGGTCGCCATTGACGGTTACGTTCTCACCGGCATCACTTTTGAAGAAATATGAACTGATGATTCCACCGGCTCTCAAACCAAATCAAACCTTTGTTTTTTCTGGTTGAAATGACAGCTCTTGAATCTCTTCAGGTTGCTCTTCGCCCCAATTGAGGAAATTTTGCTTGTTTACATACCCATTGAACCAGAAATGGTCCTCAATGCTGAAGAGAATTTGGCTCAAAAAAATCGGAGCTTTTGGAGCAGCGATGTTGCTTGGGGAGGTCGAGCGACAGTTTGATCTGTCAAAAAAAAAAAAAAAAAAAAAAATGAAAGAAGTACTTCTGCTTGGGTCACCCGTCATAATTCTAGTAGTTTCCTCGGTGTGATCTCGAAATATTCATATACTTAATTTTAAAACGAAAATTTCAACATGGTTTTAGCCCACTAGTAGTAGTAGTATATCAATTGTTTATAAGTTTCCTAAGTTTTTGCTTTAATTTGACCAAATAATTTTTTAAAAGGTGGTCCTTAATATTAGTATTTCATATCCGATATCCTAAAACTAAGCATACTATTTCAATAATATAGAGATTCAGACATAAATTATTTATATGGATAGAGAAAAGGTAGGGTTTTTAAGATTGTTTTATAAAGAGCGAACGGGACTAAAAGTCGAAAACCACGTATATGGAAAATGTACCACGGATCATGCAGACCAACTTTGCCTCAGGAACTATGGGTCTAAAACCGGTTTCGAGCCAGCGACTTTTAAGGCAGTCTTAATGGATCAAAATAATTTGTTCGCCAATTTCTTGAGATATTCTATTGAACATTTGTAAGAATCGGGCGAATCGGGCAACTATAAACGATTTTTCAGACACTTTTCGCCTTAAAAATTGCTGGCTCAAACCTGTCTTAGGCCTACAGTTTCTTAAGCAAAGTTGTTTAAAATAATCCGTAAAGCAATTTCCTCATACGCGATTTTATGTTACGACGAAAAAATCAACAGACTAACTCTAATGTACAATCACTTTATATATTAAAAATAAACAGTAAATATTTGAGGATTTGAGCTTTAACAAGCCAAATACATTTCTTTCTCCAGGAGGCACAAGCGAAGGGCTTGGCTGATGTATTCGAAATACCACACACCGCCATACAGATTGGTCCCGAAATCGGCGAGGGTGCATTCGGACGTGTCTATAAGGCCATCGCTGTGAACATACGACGAATGCGCGGCAGCACCGTTGTTGCTGTAAAGCAACTGAAAAGTGAGTGCGGAGAGATGATCTACAACCTGTAGATGGAATGTTTAATATTTAATTATTGTGAAATTTTACAGAAAATCCAACTTCAGATGAAGTGGGAGAATTTCTAAGTGAAATCGAAATGTTGAAGGGTGTGGGCACACATCACAATATCGTCAGCTTCTTTGGCTGCTGCACCATACGACCGCCATATCTCATGATCATGGAGTTTGTGGGTCGTGGCGATTTGGTAATATTTATGGTTGCATTTATTTTTCTATTCGGTAAAATTTTCTACTGCTTTCTACAGTTAACCTATCTGCGTACCGTGCGTCAGGGTTCGACAAAATTCAAACCCAACGGCGACATCGCCTCGTACACAAATCGCAAAACAGCCGAGCAGCCAAAGCCGAAGGTCAAATATATTGAATTAAAATTATCCACACAATCGGTGGATAGTGAATATGAGACTGAACGTCAGCCGAAGACATCTGTCGCGGAGAGTGAGTAGAAATGTCTTATCCAAAAAGAGAGAAATAATAAACGAAAAGTTTATTCTTTTATAGCAACCTATACTATAGTTGAAGACGAGGACTATAATGAGACATTTGAGTATATTTTGGATCACAAAGAGTTGCATAATTTTGCGTTACAAATCGCGAATGGCATGCGATTTCTGGAAGAGCAGGAGATAACTCATAGGTGAGTTATTTCTCACTGTCAAAATTTAAACTTTTTATTTCAATAATACTTTTATGTTTTGATTTTAAATTTCAGAGATTTGGCTGCGCGTAATGTACTCATAGACGATCGTAAGACCTTGAAAATATCAGATTTTGGTCTATCCCGCCATGGTATTTATACAAATACAAAAACTCGAAAGGTGCGTATTTTGAAATCCGAATACATTTGACAAATTTTTAGGGCTGTTTAACGAAGTTTGCTGGCAATTATTTTCAAGGTTAAACTCTCATATTTTTTAAGAACCGGCAGATTTGTACTAGGCTTTTGGCAGTAGTGTCATTGACGGTATCGAATATTAGCTATAATCGGCAAGTACACGAGGGCTGATGCAGTTAAAAAACGAGTGAATCCGAAGAGATAGAGTCTTGCATCGAGTTGTTGGAATAGTCGACATTGTTGGAGTAGTTACTGAAAATGTCTCAAAAGGCTAATTTTGATCATCTTATTGACGTGATCTAATCTTAAGACCAGAAGTGAAGTTTCTTTGGGGTTCGATCGATTGTGGGTCTACGATTTCTAAATCCTATAAATTAAGGTTAAAATAAAAAGCGATTACGACATATTTGGACCAAAAGTGACAGCCGGGATTTAGGGGGATCTGATAATATTTCCCTTAAAATATATTTTACAAGGGAACTCTTTGCCGAAAAAATAGCAGAATTGTTTTCTTTGATAATATTTTAAAGCGGAGCACGCAACAGGTCCATTGACTTAACCTCACGAAACAAATTTTTGATCCAGCTGGAGTAGTTTTCACAAAAATCAAGGAATACAAAGAGTTTATATGTATAGTTTAGGTTAGGTTAACCTGGTAGGCCAATAAGCCACCATAGACTAGTTTTGCTCGTTTGCGATACCAGATGAAGTTCAGTTGCCAGGTCCAATTAGTAGGAGTAATCATCCTTTAAGATGCCGGTTTAGGTTCATCAGAGAATATATACTATATGTTTATATTTCAATCTGGTTAAAAACTCGCTTCTTATCACGACTTGAGACAACTCAATATTATTTAATATTTGTTTATGTGTTCTTTTCTCTTTAAAGCTACCACTACGTTGGCTCTCTATTGAAGCGATACGTGACAATATTTATTCGAACAAGAGCGACGTCTGGGCATACGGTGTTGTGCTATGGGAGATCGGCACTTTGGGCGCCTCACCATATCCAACCATCAGCAATCATGAGCTCATACCATTTTTGCTGTCCGGCAAAAGACTGGAGAAACCTGAAATCTGCACGGATCAGGTTTACGCCATAATGATGCAATGTTGGGATGAGAGCGCCGAAAATCGTCCCACCTTCGAGGAACTCTACAAGGCATTAAGCCCCAGTGCGGCATATGTTGATATTAACAGTCTGAGTGATGACTATGTCTTTCCACCGATTTAGTTAGTAAATATAGAATAAGCAAATGTGAGCAACGAACATTGCAATAGTTGTAAAATGTTCTAAGTTTACACAGCATGTAAATATATACAGTTTAAGTATTTGTAAATATGTCAGCTTATATTTATATATTCTTAAAGATATTAGTGTACGACTAAACTGTCTATTATAAGTCTGTGTAAAATGCTTTTATAAAGTGTTTACTATATGATTATAATAAATAGTAGATAAGATGGTTTTACAATTTGTAGCTGTATATGTAGATTAAGGAAAACCAAACAATCTTTTGGCGAGAAAGAAAATCGAGGAATATTTAAGAAATAAAACTTGGAATATATTTTAAACAGCAAAACATATAGTATATATTTACATATGGAAATATGTTACGCCAGCGACTTTTTCCGAGCAACAGGTCAGTATAGTATTCAGTCATAACAGCAACAGATTCTGCTTTCGCTGAAATTCACGCAGAAGCAGAATAGTCAATGAAGTTTACGATTTGTTTAATATTCACAAAACATAAAAGTAAAATTATAAACATACATATGTACATACAACTCAGTATTTAAGCAGCCGATTCATTGCTGGAACCATAATCAACTTCGCTTTCCCTCTCACTTTCATAGACTATTTGATTTTTTGTCAGATAGAACACCTCAGTATTTGCGTTTCGCTCAGCCAAAGCGATTTCCTCATTGCCCACTAGTTGTGAGATTTGCAATTTTATTTTCGCAATCGACAATGGCGGGAATGTGCGCATAGTGCTGGCAATAGATTCGAAAAAGATTTGCAAACTGTTATTCTGCGTTAATTTTGGCACTTTCGAGGGCTTAGGCGGTAAAGGTTCCACCAAAGTTGCACGTTTTTTGCTAATTAATTCTGGTGGTGTAGTTTGCTGGATTTCGGCAAAGGCACTGTTGCGTTTTCCTGCACGTCGTGACGATTCTACGGGTGGCGCTGCTGGCGTGCGTTCCTTTTTCGTTGTTAATACGGCGTTGCATACCTTAGCGCTGTCAGTGTGCTGCTTTGAAGGTCTGGTGTTTGCTTTCATGCAACTAAAGTTGAGAGGAATATTAACAAATTTACTTTGAATAATAACATTAAATAAATGTCACGCACGATTTCTTCCGCAGGGAAGTGTCCATTAAGAACATAAGTGATTCGTCACGTTTAGTAAGTGGCGCTACCGAGCCATTGCCTCGCTTATCTTTGGTGCGCATAAAGTAATCTCGCATGGTGGTCCATTTTCCCTTAACGGCTTCAGCTATAATTCATATGGTAGATTGTAATTAAATATGTCTATATATATGTACATACATATATGTTTTTAAGTAAAAAACTATAAAACGAATATTAGTTTGAAAAAAGCTGCAGTCAAGCGCTCATCGGCTTTGTCAACGCATCGGTCATCCAAAAATCAGCGACAACGGTTCATATCAAGAAAATTTGTTTATAAACACAAAAAGAACAATAACAAATATGTAACTACTAACCTTTTATATCGAGCTGCTCTGCTATTTCAAGCCACAAACGTTGTTTCTTCTCACTATCACGGAATTCTTTATGGCGCTTATTATAAAGAATTTCGTGACTTCTTACGAAATCTATTATTTTCTCCTCGTCCTCAGTAGTAAACTTAATTTTCGTCATAATTTGTAAAAAAAAAACTTCACAACACAAACAATATAAATAATTAATATAATGCTTTGTTTTTGCTTTTGTTGCTGAAATGATAATTTCTGTAGTTGGACACGTTAACTGTACTGTATGTGAATTTATGATTATTTCTGTTGGTGGGCATTCTGTTTCTGTTTCGATTAATAGAGAGCAGAGAATGTACAATCAAAGAACAGAATAAACTACGGAAAATTTTTACTACACATATACCAGTTATGTAAGTACTTTGCTTATACATGGTGCTTCATTATTTATTGATAATAGTAAATTTTTGACAATATTTCTTCCTATTTTCATTAAAATAAGCAACAACAATAATTTATTATTTAAAAATGTAACGCATCGGTATTTTAAGTTCTTAGTTATCGATTAACGAACGTAAACCGTTGCAACTCTGTTATTTGTTTACGAATTAGGGGAAATAGGCAGAATAACAAATTACACATGTTTTTCTTTTAGATTTCCCGGCTAATTGTGTTGGAAGTATTTAATTCGATTTCAAGTTTAAACTCTATAAGAAAAGCAAGCTTCTCTATGCCAAATGCAATTGGAAGCGAAGGATAGCTTTCCAGCGAAACGAATAATTGTTAAGCTAATCGAGGAAGCACTGCAGCAATACGAACGAAATACGAGCGCGCTGGATATAGAGTTAAGTAAGTTTCATGCATGCTTCATGCAAGCAAAAATCTTATTTCTTTCTCTACTTTTTTTACTTTTTCAGATATAGAAGTGCACACAAACCATTTATTGCAACAACTCAAAGCGCTTTTGGGCGATGTCCTCGTAGAGGCATTGTGCATTTTGGATGAGCAAAGCATAATTTTATACACTAATGAAAGTTGTGCTGTTGCCGAGATACAGATCAAACATCAACAATACGCTAGCTCTATTTGGTTGTTTCCTGGCGTGAATTATTGTAATTGTAAACAGTTCAACGAGCGTGTATTGGGCTTGTCCAGTGAGCTAGAGCAACAAAATTCAGTCACACAAACTGAAAACGTGCAGCGGAGTTATACTTGTGCACATGTATTGGCATTGCGTCTCGCACAGTTGTTACGTCCAAAGCCAAGTACTTACAAAGTGGAAGCGGTGACAACACAACAATTTAATAATTTGAATGAACGAATGGAATGCAGCTTTTTAGAAATATTTAAGGAAAATTCGCTGTGAAAATTAACGAATGCAACATTCAAAGACCCTCTATGAAAAGGGACTCTTAAAGAATCTAAAAATGTTAACACAGCGTCAATATTCGAATTTCAAATTTGTAGCTCGTTTGGACCACATCAAGACATTTTACACTGGCATTAAGGCTTTAAATTTTGAAAACGTGAGTAAAATAATTTCAAAAATAAATAAAAAAAAGTTTTAATTAAATAAATTATCAACAGAATGGCAAGTTTCAAATAAGCGAAGAAGGATTACGTGTCACCGTGGAGGAGGGTAATTGTGTGCAAGCAAATCTTTATATGACTGCAACATGTTTTGCCGAGTTCCACGTTGTCGATACAGTGACCTTTGGTCTAAATATGAATATCATCTCCGAGTGTTTAGGTCTATTCGCCGGCATACCATGTAGCTTGAAAATGTTCTACAAAGGCAATGGTGCACCACTGGTGCTCGTGCTGCGTCCAAATGATGAACCTGATATATCAGCAGAATGTTCTATTAAAACTACCAACGTCGATGAAGTTATAGACTACAATCTTGATGAGGATAGCGCTAGCTTAAATGTGGTATTTATACGCGGGCCAGCGCTCGCGAATCTCATACAAGAGTTAAATAAAGCGGCCGATGAGTTGCGTATAACTTTATCACCGCGTACGCCACATTTTAAAATCGAGACATTGGGTGTGATGAAAACCGAGACGTTCGTTGAAGTGGCCAAAACTAGTGATATGATCATGTTGTTCAATTGCCGCGAGACCACGTCGGCATGTTACCGCAATACAGAAATGCGTATGACACACAAAGCACTGGCGGCCGCCACAAAAGTTGCGATCAAAACGGATGCAAGTGGCTTGCTCGAAATGCACTTTATGATGCAATCCGAGGAGCAGGCGGAGGTGTATGTACAGTTCTATATAATGCCGTTGGCGGATATTTAACATTTACAATTGTGATTGTCATAGCACAGAGTACATTTTCTTCATTTTATATTATGGAATTAAGAATTTCTGTTAAATATAGAAATCACAAAAAACATTTATACTAAACAAATGCTGTAAAAATAAATTAAGTTTTACCACCGACTGTAAACTGCTCTTATTTATTACTTCTAAAGTTTTGCTAAAACTGTCAAGGGTTAATAATCCTGCAAAAATTACGACCGTTCATTTATGTGGTTGCTTTTGTTGTTTGCTACCTGTAGTTATGTGCACTTACGCTAATCACTGTTTAACACCCGCCATTAGTACCTGCTTGCTGCTTTATTTAAACATAACTTCTCAACTAATATTTCATACACACCCAAAGTTTAGCTAAAACTAAACAAACTTAAATAATGCTACAACAAATATTATTTTATCGTGTATTTATTTTATTGACGTGCTGTCTAGCATTTATATTTGCACAGCAAGAGAACACACCAGACGAAATGGCGCAACTTGCCGATTTATTAGGTTTGAGTCAGGCCAGCGCGCGTCTCAAAAGACAACCATCTTTAAGGTGAGTACTTGCAATAGCTTGGAACGTTTTGCGCTGAAGTGAAATTAATTGATAAATAATTTAAAACTCACAGCAATTCAGCGGCGAAATTTTTGCTTGAAGTGTACAAAGAAATCAGTGAAGAGGATGAAAAGCATTTATCAGAAGTGCTACAGAACCAACACAAAACGCGAAATAGGCGAGCGATCAGCGAGGACAACTTCATAACACCCTTCGACCGCAGAGAAATCGAGTTGAGCAACAATATAATCACATTCGCCAGCAGACGTGAGTTTGATATTTTGGTCTTCGAGTGTATTTGAGCTATAACTTTTCGTTACTCATTGAGTTTTCTCTTACAGCCGTGTCATTTAAGTCGATTTCTGCACCTTTGGGCGACATGCTCGTCAATTTTAATTTAAATGACATACCAAACGACTTGGAATTAACACATGCCGCTATGCGCTTATACCAAGATCCACAACTGGGACATTACAACATGCATGCCGAGTATAATTACACAATCGACGTCTATAAGCCTGTAGGCGAGTATATGCATCGCGTTGCATCGATAAATGCCACCACCACCTTCAGAGGTTGGCTGGAGTTGAATGTAACACATGTGCTCAATCAGTGGTTACGCTTTCGCACGCTTAAGCAGATACTCTACGGCAATGACTTGTTGGTTGGCGTCACATTGCATACGCCACACAGACATAGAAAAGAGGGAGCCATAGCTAAATCACAACAGGTTGCTGTCACTGATATCGGTTTAGTGTCGCCGCAAATACAAGCGGAACTGCTTGATTTGCAGCCCTTCATTATTGGCTACTTCAAAGGTCCCGATTTGTTGACCAAGATGCAACAGCGCTCAAGTCAACAAAATAAACGTCGTGTGCGGCATGCCGACTCCTTTCGGCAGCCACCGGCGCCGCATTTGCCGCACACTATCAATGTCAACAAGGAAATCGTTTTTGAGCCACCCAAAGCATGTGAGCGACGCAACTTCACATTGGATTTCAAATATTTGGGCATGGAGAAATCGGTGATTGCACCGAAAACTTTCGAGGCTTTCTACTGCTTTGGCGAGTGTAATTTCCCCTTGGGCACACCGATGCATAATGCCACTAATCATGCCATTGTGCAGACGCTGATGCATTTGAAACGCCCAAATCTACCGAAACCATGTTGCGTGCCAATCAAGTTGGCCTCCATATCCATACTGTACTCGGTCAATGAAGATAGCGTGAATTTGATGCGTTTTTCGCACATTGTCGCCAAGGAGTGTGGTTGCCGTTGAATGATGACGTGTTCTTGACGGTGTGGAAGACGAAATTTAAAATTTTTAATCGTTCAAAATAAAGTAGCATAGTAATTATAACGGCAACATGTAAATACATACATACATATATTTAATTATTGTAAATTTGTTACGATGAACATAATGAGATTTTGCTTGCTTACATACATAAGTATATACTAAGTGTTAAAATGTAAGTATGTGCGCGCGTGCATATATAAAAAAAAAAAAATGTGTTAACAACAATTTACTTTGTCTGCTTTTATTTGGGGTAACTGGGTTGGCTGCAACGAAGTAAGCTTCAGTAAAACGTGTAAGACTTTTAATGGTCGTAAATATTAAATATTTTCACCATATTGTCAACAGTATTTGGAATATTTGTTTTCAAAAACGTCACTACGTTAAATAGTAAATATGATTTTCGTTTTTTTGATTTAAGGTACGTCAGAATTGCACATATAAATTGAACTAAGCTCAAAATAGAACCGAAAATAAACAGAATTTCAGACATAACCTAGAAATGACCGACCACTGCTGCAGCAATCGTACAGCTTATAACAATTTTCAACACTATTAACATCTCAGCACACATTTTATCCAGTCGGACATTTCAATTTCGATAACATTGTCTTGATTGTGATCCTTGCGTTGGAAGTAATCGAATGCGGCGGTCAGATGCAGCACTGCGGATGCAAAGTCGCTTAGCCGCAATGTGCCATCCTTCCTTATGTAGCGTTGCATCAGACAATTCATTATCTCTGTGCTCAATTGAAAACCGACATCGTAGAGTGCGTCACGCAGGCGTTCGGCGCGCAGTATGCCGGCCTTTTCTTTTGTATAAATCTTGAAAACACCCTGCCATGACTTCAGATTGACCATGAATGTTTTGAATTGTAGGAAATTGATGCGTCCTGTGCCGGTTTTGTCTTGCAATGCAATCACCTGACGACATATATCGATATTGGCGCAACCTTTGATGTAATCGTTGGGCAAACACGCCTCCAGCAACTCGTGCAATTCAAAACAGTTGATAGTTTTGTTCTCGTCAGCCAACTGCATGAACACTGGCTCGTATTGACAGACATTTTTGATTTTTGTTGTCTCCACTTCGGTCTTCAAAGCTGGGAATGGATCTAACAGCATCATTGTTTGTGTTTCAAGCAGTGAGAGACGCAATGGTGCTGTGCCCAAGAAGCGTACGGTGAAGCTAGTCTCCTCGCCGGGTTCATATGTGGTGGGCATAAGCACATATTGACCCACTTCTAGCTGGCAGCGATAGCTTACGTGTCGCGTATTGCCGTAGTCCGAATTCAGGAAGCTCACCTGTGTTTTGAAGAAATCTTTTGGTAGGCATTCGCTGAACTTACCCTTACTGCCATTTGCCAAGCCATTTAATTTGTACATTGAAAAGCCAATGACTTTAGGCTCCACAGCTGTGTGTTGATTCAATGCAATCACAACTTCTTGCTGCTCTTGTATGTTCAACAATAGTTGCGGATTTATGTGAAAGGATTCGTGATTGCGGCAACCACCGGCTGTGACACCACGCTTCCACTGACCTTGGAACATTTTCATTTGCCAGCGTTTAGGGCGTTCTTGCAGCGTTGTCTCGTCTTTGGCTGTGTCAGCGTCCAGATAAATGCATTCGAGGCTGGTGAATGTCTGTGTGAATTCGAGGAACGACATCCAGAACTCACCAGCATCGAGTTGGCCGAAAAGGCGATCACGCTCCTGCACTGAAACGCGTTCCCACGATGCCGAGAGCGCTGACCAATCGCCTTCAAATACAGCATTGTTGTCGAAACCATTGCAAGCGAGTGGATCTTTCAAACGCACCAACTGCACCGCATCCCCCAGCAACGTCTCTACTTTATCCAGCGAAGAAAGTCTGCGAAAAGTATTAAAAATTTGAAAAATAAATGTGCAAACAATTTAGTTCAAAACTAATATATGTATATGACTACTCGTTAGTGCTGCTAAGGCAATACTAGTCCACCTACGCACGCGCTCACTCACCTGTAGTTAACATTGAATGCGACACCGTTCACCAGCCGCTCAGCTGTACTTTTGTGTTGTCCACTCGCTGTGCCGCCCGTTACTGCAATACACGTCACTATGCAGGTTGTTTCCAGATGCGATTTCAACTGTTGCGGCCGCAGCAGATCTGTGGCATTAGTGCCTGTCTTCAGTGGTATACACTCAACCACACCACCAAGCAGATCGCTGAGACCATCTGAACGCGTG